ACACTTAAAAAAAAAACTAAAGGCATGAAAATATGCTTAATAGTGCCAATTTGCAAAGGTGTTTTTTCGATTTTGTGTCTATATTTGAAGTAAATCTTTCTGTAAACATTTAAAATGTTTTTAAAAACCTCCCTGACCCATTAAAAGACATATACTGTCACTGCACACATGTCTATTTTTTAGAGACCCCCTCCATTACCGCTGCTTTCGTTTATCATATTCAAAGAGCAAAACAATGGGTGTAAGAGATAAAAGACTGTGTGTGTGTGCGTGTGTGACTGTGTGTGTATGCGCGTGTCAAGCCTTTGTAAAACCATCAGTAACCCCCTGGCTTTGTTCTACAGTGGAGAAGTTGTGGGTTGAATATCAACGAGAAATCAGGTCCTCCAAATGATGCTTTTATCTGATGGAGAGCTGCATTAGCATACTAATTAGATTAATTAACTACACCGCATCTCACATTAACAATATCTGCTCCCACTAACTAAAAATAACTGTTGCTGTATATAGCAGGAGCCAAACATTACATGGTTGTGAGAGCAGAGACAGTAAGGGACTATTAATTGATATTTAATGAGAGAAAGGGTTTAATGCCTTCTTCTCTTTGTTAACATTTCCTGCATCTTTATGCAAAGCACAAGAAAATTATGCTTTGTTCACTACTGCACTAATGCAGCAGATATCAATTAAAGGGCACTAAAAATTACAGGTGAATATAGTACAAAACGTTTACATGACACATACAGAAATGACAGAACTCAAAAGGCTCAGCTGTATGCAGTCAGGGTGTGACCAGTGATTTGAAAACATCTGCTGTAGAAGTTTTACTGTTAATCAGTCGATCACAGTCACATCTGATGTGACTTAATAATGCAAGACAAGAAAACATTTTTTAAAGTCTTTCCACGTTTTATAGCAACTGCAAAAAGATAACTTAATTTAAAGTAGATTAACACGTATAATGTTTATTTTATGTTCTGGCACAACCCAGGTTTGAACATTATTTATTTTGTTACAGTAAAGCTACTAATACTGATATTCAGAATATTTGCCTTCATGACCAAGAATGGTTTGAAAATGACAAGAGCTGAGTTTCACACAGGACATCATCATTTTGTGAAACCTCTGAAGCTTTTGCATTTAAACCTCAGTTCAACCATCTCCAGTGGAGCTGAGACTGATAACACTCTTTTAGTTGAGACAAAGGTTCTTGCATGACACCTTTGAATGGTGTGCAGGCCATAAACATCCCTCAGGCCTTTGTATCATATTGTCAGCTCATCTCTTCTTCATGTTTTAATTTCAGTGTATCTCTGTGAGGACTGTGGCTACACATGGGTTTATGTTACAGCTTTAGGGTAGTCAAAGGTGAACAAATGTCTGTGTTATCAATCCAGCTGTGAGAAATGTTGATCCTGATAAAAAGCTCAGATGATCATATTTTCAATAGGCCAATCAGCAGAGAACAAGAGGAGGCGATGATGAGCTACAGACAGAGAGGAGAATGAGAAGTCAGCAAATGAGAAACATACAGTAGAGAGAAAAATGGACAGAGAGGGATGGGGTGAACAGAGGTGTAGCCTCACCAGAGTAATTCCCCTCTCTTCGGCAAACCCTGTGGTTGCTAGGCAACCCAAAATATGAATAGGCAGGGGACCATCCTGCGAACGGGCCCATCATTTATGGATGAGTTACGACACAAATTGCAGGCACACACTTACGCAGACACACATGGTTTGGCTGAGCTTTGGTAAAGCCACTGTGACCATCTGACATCTCAACACCCGCCAGATAAACTGGCTGAGATACCTGCAGTGTGTGCGTGTGTGTGCGTGTGCGCACTTGTGTAGCAACTCTAACAACATGTGCAACGACAGGCCAAATCCCACCCCATTCACCCAGGACTCAATACAGGGATTACAGTGCATACCGCCTGGCTGTGCCGTGTGTGTGTGTGATAGTTTCACTCCCAAATGCCAGACAAGAATCACATGTAAGTTGGAGTCAAACCTCATATTTCTCCATGTGTTCTCAGCCTCTTCCCCAAACAGCGTTATAATATTCAACATTAATTTTCAGTTTCGCTTCACAGCAACAACAACAAAAAATTCTTCTTCCTCGTACTTCAAAGAACTGTCAGGAGGAGTGGGGAGGGCTTTGATAGTGAGTGTGGAAAGGATGGGTGGGGTTCGTTGGGATGCGTTGATCTGGCAGGTAACTCAAGAGCCACATTTAAATTTTGTGGCATTTTTATTGTGCAAGTGAAAGAGAGAAAGGAGTACCATCTAACAAAGATTACGAGCTAAATTGAAATTAATGATGCTTTAAAGATGTGTATGATTCACACATTGCCGTGTGTGTGTGTGTGTGTGTGTGTGTGTGTGTGTGTGTGTGTGTGTGTGTGCATGCGTGTGCGTGTCTATTGGTGTTACCTAGGATACAGCCCAACTCCAATCTCTTGCAGCTCTCCGTCACTGATGGTAAAACAATTACATGTTACCTAAAGGTGAGAAAGAGGATAAAAGAGTCGAGACAACAAAGAGAGGTTATTTGTTAAATTGCTTCAGGGAACCAATACACCTTTCATCACATTCTGAACATTTGCACATATCGTTGGTATCTGCAAAACTCCACCGGCACTGCGGCTGAAACATGTCATGCAAGGTTTTAGATTATTCCCATCCGGTTATTTTTGATCCAGGAAATTTCTTTTGTTAAAAGAAAGGTTTTTTGAAAAAGACATGTCTGTAATATTTTTCATAAACTGAGTAAACAAAATATTGAATTAGCGATCATGTACAGTGATTTTAAAAAGAGCAAGTTAAATGTTTTTTTCCCCCAAGGACATGTGAAAATGAGAAGGTGAACATTTTTTAAGAGTAAATGAAGACAACACTTAACAAAATACAACTTGTTATTCCTTTGGCATGAAAAAGAAAGAAAGAAAAAAAAGAGTAGTGGAGAAAAAAAAGAAAAAACATTGTCAACTATATATATACACACACATATATACACACACATACATACATACATATACACACACACACACATATATATACACACACACACACACACACATATATATACACACACACACATATATATACACACATATATACACACACACACATATATACACACACACACACATATATACACACACACACACACTATATATATATACATATATACACACACACACACACAATATATATATATATATATATATATATACACACACACACACACACACATATATACATACACACACACATATATACACACATACATATATATATACACACATTATATGTATATATCTCAGTTAAACTAGTAAGGGGATCAAAATCAAAGTGGCTGATCTAAGCACTGCAGGACTCCACACCTTCACATTATTAGGAAATTAAATTAAGTTTATATTCTTTTATGAGCATTTTATTTTAAAATGAAAAAAAGCATTGAAAATTATATACATAATAATAATAAAGTGTAATCAAAATCTTAACAATCACATATCAAATCTCATCCTCCTAACAAAAATAATCAACAGTAATCTAAATATTGGATGTGCTTTATCGCTTGTGTGTATAAACCACCCACCATGCACCAGGATGGTCTGCATGATTTAAAAGGACACATTTCTGGACTGAATTAATGAAAGAGTTAGAGCTTTCAGGAGCCAGGGGAGGAATTTCTAACATGGGAGAGGGATGGTTGGTGTCTTTCAACTAACAAGAGATAGAACAGAGATGGTTTGAATAATAAAATGCTTGAAGAAATTGTACACACACTAAAATGTAAAATAAGTTAACAAAGAAGTGGAAACAAAACAATAAAAGAATAAAAAAGTCTTTGATGTGTCAATTACCGAGGTAGTGCTGGAAAACAAGTGTGTTTTTGTGTGTGTTGGTGGTTGTGGTTTCTGCCATACCCTGGAAGTGGATAAATAAATGTAACTTAAGCAACATTAGTATTCAGACTGTCAGATAAAGAGGCAGACAGAGGCAAGCAGAAAGGGAGGGTAAGATTTAAAGTGAGCCACAGACAGATGTTCCCCATCCTGCTGATATTCACACCAAAATCAGCAAAATGACTCAATTTGAATCTGCAGCTGTAATAAACACCATTAGAGTCGGGCCTCATGGGAAATGAGGGTTTTTACTCAACTTAGCCAACAGGAGAGAATGTGATTACACAGAAAAACACTGGGACACACAATATGAATATAATATATATGAATATGCAAAATCTTTGACAAAGTCTTCCACACACGCACACACACACACACACACTTCATTGTTATTCAGTTGGTCTCACAGATCACACACATCATTTCTCCCATACAGCATCCATTCATGTGGGGAAGACAGACACATCATATAATACTGCAATATGCTATATATATGAATCACAGTAAGATAAAATAATAGTGGTTTCATGTGATTTTTATGAAGTAGTTGCCACAAACAGCAGGGACACATGGATGGTTAAGATGAGCGTAGGCCCAACATTTTCTTCATTTTTTGCAAGTAATAATTTGGCCTAGCGGCATCTCACATCGGAGGCACTGAAACCAGAGAATATTTGGCATTTCTGCTTGAACAGATTAACAGACAATCAAAACAGTTCAGCCGATCCACAAATCAAATAAGTAACTGTTGCAGCTCTAGAAACAACTGAATGTACATAGGATCCATTCAGAGGAGGCTGCCAGCACAGGTTGATCTGTGGGCATCACCAATCAAAGACACACAAGTCTGCAACTTATTGTCTTTTTCTATTACTAATCCAGGGAATAAAAATGTCCAAATACCAAATAGACCAAGGTAAAGAGGTTTCAATGACATGAGTTGACCTGTTCAGATCGACTGGAATTAAGAAAGATGTCACAAGTTGGTGAGTGAGAGAGAGAGTCAGCAAAGACAGCTAACTGAACTATAAATATATTTGTAATTGCTACACCCCCCTCCCCACCTCACACATAGTACACCTGCCTCCAGCATGAAAATGAGCACTGGAGTACCCCACAGTTTTCCCCTTATTAGGAAAAGGCAGCACTGGTTAGTGACAGCAGGGATGAAGTGACGACTGTGTAGAGAAAAAAGAATGGATGGTTTTGAGAAGAGGGAGGGGGTGAAGAAGTGCAGAGAAAATTTAAACAAACAGTGGTAGGGCACTGAGCTGGGTATAGATCTCTTTCTGTTACAAACACACAAACACACACCAACGCTCTCACAGGGGATGAGAATCAATCTAGCAGAACCATCCACATCTGCAGAGCCGGCTGGTGGACGCCTTTTGCATCCCAAATCCACACACAAACAAACACATACATACGTATATAAGCAGGCCTCCCTGCTTTACACAAATGATCCACAAAAAGTAATCTTATGATTCACTTCCTTTATGTTCCCACGGCTTCCCCTCCTCTCTCCCTGACGGGCTACCTCTCCTCCTGTCTCTTTACCTTCAGTTCCTTCTGCTTCTTCCTGACTGGATGAAAACTAAAAACAGTAATAGCATGAAAAACCTATCTACAGACTCAGAAGCTCACATCCGCAGACTTGGAACACGATCTGTTGCAGCTGACATCACCACATTGAAAAATACTGTCAACATACACCTTAAACTGGTATTTAATCTCAACAAACACTGCTCCACTGTTTGTTGACAACTGACGTCAAGCGAAGCTAAACTGTGATAAACATAAGCTCAATCTGATTCCATCCACTTGAGAGCTTTCCCAAAATGATACAAGAGGACTTGAGGTGGACTAAAAAGTTCTTCCAACAGAAAATGTGAATGTTTGATGAACTTACGATACTCCACCATCTCTACACAGAAGTGTTGCTGCTGGAAAAAACATTGTACAAATTTGAATTACATGTAGGTTTCGTTGCTTCTTCATATATTATTTTAGAATATGAACCAGGGTTTCCTTCTTGTTTTTTAGGGTGGCTTTAGGCTAAAGCTAAAACAATAAGTTCACAGAAAATGAATCCACAAGAAGTAAAATAATTGAATACTTAATTAAAACTTAAGTATTTTTTTTATTTAAACTACCACTTAAAATAGTAACCTAAATATCTTTTGGACTGTCTATAACCATAATGAAAATAATCATTAGTTGCAGCCCTACTTTAGATACAAGTGTAGTGAGGCTAAACCTTTGGGGAGGTTTAACCAAAGGGAGAAAATCACTGTGTACCTAATCTTACTTTACCTATTTCTATTCTTTTTATCTATTGTATCTGTGTCTTTTTTTGTCTGTAAGAAATGTTCACTGCTTTGGAGATCTTTTGCCTTTGTAAAGAATCATACATACACTAATATAACACCACAGCCGGGCGAGCATATCATCCATCACAAAACATTGAGACGGCTGTTTTCATCTTATGACAAGAGATGGTAAGAGCCTCCCGCTGTTTACCTGCTTATTTATAACCTCCACATTAATAAAGCAAGTCCTCCACAGCTGCCAGTGTGGGTTTATCTGAGGTGACACTGTGGTGAAGTGCCAGTGAGGAGGAATCAGTTTGGGAGGAGGCCAGAGAGAGATGTTGCAGCGTCTAGAGGGCTACTGTCTATCCATCTTGAGTGACTGAATTGTATTCCACAAAATTAAATGAAAGGAGCTCTCCTCTAAATAATAAAGTAGAAATTCTGAACAGCAGGTTCTTAATGGGAATTACAAGCCTGATAGGATTCAGCTACTGGCATTCCCACTGTGGAGAATTATACAATTACCTTATCTGTACAAAAGAGACCAAAGTGTGCATTTTGTCTGGAAGGGTTTTCTTCAAAATAGTGCAGAGAATGTCAGTCCCCACATTCATTCATTGGGTTGCTCATTTATTTTTCTGCCTGTCACACACAATATTTCTGCTGATTAGATTTGGATGAAACTTGTAGAAATGATGAATGTGAGATAGGGGAACAGAGGCAAAGAAGAGCGAATGAGTGAAGGGCATGTTGAGCAGCCTGTGATGTGGAAAATGGAAAATATGATCAAAAACGCCTCGTCTCCAAAATGTCATCTTCTGAGGTGGAATACAAAACAAATAAACTACACTTTTCAGGCATATGATACACTTTGGACTTCATACTGTTGGTTCTGAAAACTTTGTAAAAAGTTTTAGGGACACATCGATCCAGAGAGAAACAACTACTACATTCATTTCAAGATTTAAATTCTACCAAAAATTATTAAATAGTCAATGAGAGTTAGTTCTGATGTATCTCCTTGTGTGTGCGCTTTCAACTGACTGTGCCTGCTAATATACTCAGTTAACACATGTACTATACTAGAGATATTTCTTAGGGGCTAAATTTATGTAAGAGGGAAAGGTAAGACAGGTCTAGCTGAGTGAGTCTTCATCAGTCTCCGAAACTTCTTCATACCTGAACCTGGCTCAACATACTGCACACCTACTGAACTTTAGAGAACCACATAATCTGTCATTCCACAAATAAAAAAAGTCTTGTTTGTTTTGGGATCTG